GAGAGCTTCGGACCTGGCCAGGATGTGGACTTTCTCTCCCATGGTGGACACGGCTCGTGACCAGCGCTGGGGCCGCAACATCGAGGGTGCCGGCGAGGAGACCCTGCAGTTTCTAGAATTGGGCCCAAAGGGCCCATGGAGGCCCAGAAGATCAGGCCCAAAGGTTCAGATTGAAAAAGGCAAGCATGGAAAGCTAATCCCAGGACCCTTTCCTGGGGGAGGCATTTGCCCGAGCCCGCGTCCAGGGCTTCCAGGGTCCGGACTTGACGCCTGTATTGCAAAGCAAAGCTTAAGCCTTAAGCTTCAATAGCCTTTAGGGATATGTTGGTTCATGTTGGTTCCTTTTGTCTGAAGAGTTTTGTTGGGTTTGTTTGCTGCTATTCTCATTATTGCAGTGCATTCTGGCATGTGGTGGGGTTGGGTCACGACTCTGAGGATTCCCGATACTGTAGACGACTGCCGTCAAAACTTCCAAACCTTCCTTGCGCTCTGAAAACTCTGGGCCACTGCGTAGCACTAGTGAAGATCCGTTTCCCGCCGTGCCTCAGCGCTGCATGTTGCTCCCACGTTGCGACTGGGTTCTCTGCCCTTTGAAAAAGTACAAGAAGAACAAAACGGGGCGTTTTTAGGTGAATTTGTCGGGGGCGAGGTTCTCTCGGAGAGGCTCTCCAGGGAGAGGGCGCTCACCCCCGGCTTCGGGGCGGGTGGGGCCCAGGAAGTCCGAGGACAGCCTTGCCAGCTGCTTGAAGCACTTCGCTGGCTACGGAGGTGTTCTAGCTGGGCTGGACTACAGTGAGAGTGACATGTCGGAGGCTACCTTCCGGGATGTTTTCCTGCCGCCTTTCGTGGCTGGTATTCGTGCTGGTGCCTTGGGCAGTCTTCGGGTCATACGAGGGTTTTGGCGTTATGAGCTATTGAAGCATCTATGAATCTATGAGGCGCCCTATTGCATCAAAGTTGTTTAGTTGATCTTAATCTTTTTTCCTTTGTACGAGTGTATACATGTGTGCTGTTCAGGCGCCTTGAGCATCATGAGCGCGTTCCAGGCTCTGGAGGGCATACCAGCGACTGGAAACCGATGGCTCCTGTCGGATGTGCTGAGGACAGAGTTGGGCTTCGAAGGCTTCGTAGTTACGGACTATGAAGCTGACCTTGAGCTGGTAGCACACGGCTATGCAAGGAACGCTTCCGATGCCGCCCGCATTGCCCTATCTGCTGGTATAGACATGTCTATGCAAAGTGGAGTCTTTCAAAACATACCACATCTCATCGCACATGGACTCGTTTCGCAGCGGCGCTTGGATGAGGCCGTAGTGCGAGTGCTGCAAGCCAAGGCCAGCATGGGCCTGCTGTCCAACCCTTACAAGACATTGAATCCTGCCACTGAGTGGCCAAAGTCGAAGCATGCTGATCAGGAGGCACATGACCAGCTCGCTCGGGATGCTGCGAGGAGGTCGATGGTGCTGCTCAAAAACGAGCAGGGGACCCTGCCCCTGAAGAAGTCCCAGAAGATCACGGTCATTGGCTGGTGGACCAATGACACAGATACCGATGCTGTTGGGGTGCTCTGGGGGAACAAGTCGCACACCATCACGCTGCTGCAGGGTCTACAGGCTGTGATGCCTCCCAGCCAGCTGAGGCGCCGAAAACCCAAAAGGCACCCCAACAAAACGAGTTGAGTAAAAACATAGTTAAAATCGTAAAACAAAGTACCACATCGTAAAACATAGTAACGCATAGTATAACATAGCAACACATAGTAAAACATAGCAAAGCATGGTAAAACATAGTAAAACATAGTAAAACATAGTAAAACATAGTAAAACATAGTAAAACATAGTAAAACATAGTAAAACATAGTAAAACATAGTAAAACATAGTAAAACATAGTAAAACATAGTAAAACATAGTAAAACATAGTAAAACATAGTAAGACATAGTAAGACATAGTAAGACATAGTAAGACATAGTAAGACATAGTAAGACATAGTAAAACATAGTAAAACATAGTAAAGCATAGTAAAACATAGCAAAACATAGTAAAACATAGTAAAACATAGCAAAGCATGGTAAAACATAGTAAAACATAGTAAAACATAGTAAAACATAGTAAAACATAGTAAAACATAGTAAAACATAGTAAAACATAGTAAAACATAGTAAAACATAGTAAAACATAGTAAAACATAGTAAAACATAGTAAAACATAGTAAAACATAGTAAAACATAGTAAAACATAGTAAAATAGCAAACATAGTAAAACATAGTAAAACATGGTAAAACATAGTAAAACATAGTAAAAGTAAAACATAGTAAAACATAGTAAAACATAGTAAAACATAGTAAAACATAGTAAAACATAGTAAAACATAGTAAAACATAGTAAAACATAGTAAAACATAGTAAAACATAGTAAAACATAGTAAAACATAGTAAACCTAAGTAAACCTAGTAAAACATAGTACAACATAGTAAAACATAGTAAAACATAGTAAAACATAGTAAAACATAGTAAAACATAGTAAAACATAGTAAAACATAGCAAAGCATGGTAAAACATAGTGAAGCATAGTGAAGCCCTAGTGCGCAACCCCAGTGCAATCCCAATGCGAACCTCGTGCAAACCCAGTGCAGTTCCAAGCTCTCACAAAGCCTTGAATCCCAAGCATCGAAACACCAATTCGCCAAAGCGATGAAATCGAAGCGTCAGGTGGGTGAAGGGCTCCGATGTGGAAGCCGAGATTCCAGGCGGCACTGCCGATGCGCTGGCCGCCGCCGCCTGGGCAGATGTGGTGCTCTGGTATGGGGTATTATGGGGGAATGGAGGGGGGGTTGCGCAGACTTGACCGTTGGAACGACTTCCTGAAACAAGTCTCGAAAAAATAGGCTAAGGGTCGGTGCGGCAGGGGGGTGGTGCAGCCGGGGTGCTCCGCAATCATGGATTTTCATCAGCTTCTTGTCGGCTTTTTCGGGATTCAATTTTTCCTTCCGTCGCAGGTCATCCCTCATGTTGTTTCTTGAGGTTTCTCAGGTTGCTCAAGGATATAGATGTGTGTAGACACCCGCCACAGTATGCCAACAGGACCCCAACACGTTTTTGGATGGCTTTAGTTCGGAGGTTCTAATAATTGGCGGGGCTTGTGAAGGCCCCTTTACCCACAGCCAGAAGTGTTGGAGACAGCCCTTAAGACCAGGGAGTCGGGTCCCTGCTTCAGAATGGTCTTTGGGGGTGTAGTCTGACAGAGCTGGGCTTGAGTTTGCTACTGACCGTAAACCCGGTGCTGCCGAACACTTTCGTAGGAATATAATAGAAACTGCAAGAGATAGAAAGAGTTTCTAGGTGCTCTTGGCCCTTGGCGAGTCTTCGGAGCTCATCGGTGAGGCGCGGTCTCGGACGGAGCTTACACTCCCGGAGGCCCAACAGCGCCTGGCCGAGGCCTTTTACGTGATCTCTTTCGCGGGGGATCTCTCTGCATCTCATCTGGTGTGCCGTTCTGGTGTGCCGTTCTGGTGTGCCGTTCTGGTGTGCCGTTCTGGTGTACCGTTCTGGTGTGCCGTTTTGGTGTGCTTGGCAGTTTCGCAAAAGAGATTTGGGGTTAGCACAGGCCGTGGCGTCTGCTGGCAAGCCGCTGGTGGTGCTCCTGAAGAACGGCCGCGCCCTGGAGCTCCGAGGCTCCGTGAAAGAGGCAGAGGCCATTTTGGTGACGTGGTCCCTTGGAGCGAGTGAGACAGTCCTGGGCCTACCAGCAGGGAGTCGAAAAGCATTTGTTAGATCAGATCTTCGACTTTTTGTTCATCCTTGTTGCCCTACTGCGGCAATGTGTTCCGAGGTTCTTGGGCAAGATGACGGGGCATGCGATTGCAGACGTGCTCTTTGGAGACTACAGCCCCTCTGGTCGTCTGCCGATCACATTCCCAATCGCCGGGGGACAACAGCCTTTGTATTACAATCGCATGAGCTCTGGACGCCCATGCTTGTGGCCCAGCAGATGGACGAACTGCTATCTTCGAGTGCCGAACAAGGCCTTGTACTCCTTCGGCCATGGGCTCACGTACAGCACGATTGAGTACGGACCCCCAATTTTGCGCAGGGTTCTGCCCTGGGACGGCATCCTGACAATCGCCTGCAACATCTCGAACACGGGAGGACGAGCTGTCGAGGAAGTCGTGCAGCTGTATATTCATGACCGGATTGCCAGCCGTGTGCGCCCTGTGAGGGAGCTCAAGGGTTTTCAGAAGATTCTGCTTCAGAAAGGCGAGTCTCAAACCATCGTCTTCCAGTTGTCTCGGCAAGATCTCGGCTTTACGGGCCCAGCCCACTCGCTGAGGCATGGCTTGCACATTGTAGAGCCTGGTGCGTTTGACGTGTGGGTGGCGCCCTCGTCTACAGAGGGCCTGGCGGCCCATTTTGAGCTAGAGGGACCGGTCGAGCGCCTGATCTAAGACCATGGTGCAAGTCCGGCAATCAACAACAACATGAGATTTGTTCAAGTCGTTTGCACAGTCGGCTCGCTCGTAGTTTCGCCGAGAGTTGCTCTGAATCCTGGCGTTTGTCTCTGCCGCAACCAGTTTTGTGCTGGTTTTTGCGACCCCTGGCGAAGTGCAGTTGTGCTGCTTTATGTGGAATTTGCAACTAAAAAATGAATGCTCTTGTAAGGAGCCCTGTGTAGAAATGTTGCTTAAGCCACGATCTTTCATGCCTGTCACAAGATACAGCGTTGAGAGCAGTGCTGGGTCACGTGGGCACATGTCCCTGCGTGTGCCCAAGGCTGCATACCGACCCTTGCATCAAAGTGGGACCGCTGAAAGTGATGTCCGAGCTTGAATGCTGGTTTCGTGAGCAAAAATAACCTACAACACCATCACCTTCACTGCTTTTACTGTTGCTTACAGGTTGTTCACTTCCCAATGCAACAGCTTAGGCTGCTGCGTTCTGCACTATGTTGGTTTTACTTCGCAGGCAAAATTGTAGGCACGGTTGCACACGGCTGTGATGTGAGGCTCCAGCCCGGGCTCTACGACTGCCGCAACTTCCCTGAGAGCTTGGAGCTGGCAGCCCCGCAAAAGTGGGAAGAGTTCGACTTCACCTGTGCCGCGGCTTTTCAAGGCTTTGCAAGGCGTCTCAGGCTTTTCAAGGCTTTTCGAGGCTTGTCAAAACACTTTGGGGGGAGCATGGAACTTCCTGAGACTCCTTCACCCTTCACCCATCCATCCCAATGCCCAACCCAGACGAACCTCCTGCACTTGAAACCAGGTGCCGAGACGTCGGCTCCCCGGCAGTCTGCATAGGACGGACATCGCTCCACTCACGCGACCTGCGCGGAGTTTTGTGCAAATTAATGGATCTTTTCAAAAAGTGCTTTGACTCAGGGTTACGGGGAATTCGGGTGGAGGGGGAATCCCCGCTCCCATTTTGCACAATCTTTGCCACCACAAAAACTGAAGAAAAGGGGCCCGCGTCAGGGACTCGCAGCCAGCCTTGCCGTGTTTGCCTCGCTAAGGCTGGAGGCTCAGCTCCAGCAGGAGTGCCACCTTTCCTTCACACTGCCAGCCGGCACGGAGGCGAGGTGTCGTGTCGCATGGTGTGGGTGTTGCTGTGTATCGCTATGTGTTGCCCACTTGCCCCACTTGCCCCACTTGCCCCACTTGCCCCACTTGCCCCACTTGCCCCACTTGCCCTACTTGCCCCGCCTGCTTTTGCAGAAGAGTTGATGCTGCCCCACTTGCCTCGCTTGCCCCACTTGGTGGGCCGGAAGAGCTACTTGCCACTTGTCACATGGATTGCCTCGAATGGCTTCAAGCGCAAGGCAGGGTGTGACCCACCAACCCTTACCCCCTTTCAGCTTCCAACTCCGCAAGACGGGCCAGGCTCTGAGGCCAGGCTCTGACCTAACCACAAGCCTACCTCAAACTGGGTGGTTTTGAGACAGAGTTGCCGCACTGCCAGGGCCACACCACCGAACATGGGGCAAGTGGGGCAAGTGGGTGTGGGCAAGTGGGTGGGGCAATGTCCTTCTCCACTAAAGTGGCTAGAGCAAGTGGGTCAAGCGGGGCACGTGTCAGAAAACAGTTAGCGGTGCAGGTTTGCGCGCTCACTGGACTGTTGCCAAGCCTCATGTCCAACACTGTCCTGCACCCACAAAAACATCTGCAAGCCTCAAGCCTTACACTCTAGACTCTAGACCTTACCCCGTGGACATCTTCCAATCCGGAGGTGGGGGGGGTCCTGCTGTTCATGCGCGCTGATCTTTGCCCTGGTGTGGACGCTCGTGTGAATGTGCATATGTAGGCTTGTTGATCTCGAGTGGTAGAGTCGGACATTTTGGGGGCTTTTCGCCTGACATGGCCTCATGGTGCTGCAGCTTAGGACTTGGACACCCGACGAGACGAAACCTCCTGGAACCATTACTTGCTGCAGCTGCCTCCACAGCGAGTCGGAGAAAGTGGCACGCTAGCGGCTTGGCCTGCACTTGCAGTCGCTTGAGATGCGCAAGTTTGCACAAGCTTGCACAAGCCTGCACGCACAGCTCAGGTGGTCTCGGTGGCAGTGGATGCTCGAAGCGAGGACGTACGCTACCGGTTTGAGGTCGGTTCCGAGTCCTATCGAACTGGAGACCCTCTGCACGCTGGGGGACAAAAGCAAAATGACCTCCTCCTGAGATTCGGAGCAGTGACCCCGTGCTGTGCGCACTTGCTTTGTGCTCTCCTGAGACGATGTTGACAACTTGGCCTCTGCCTCCCTGGACGACTCGTAGCAGCGAGCCTCGTAGGTTGAGGTCAAATGCACGACTTTTGCCATAGGTTACCATAAACAATAGTGACAGCCGAGACGTGGATCTGGTCAGACCCGAAACAACCTCCTGCCTCCACAGCAGAAACTGCCAGAAGTGGCCATCCCGCTCTCCGGCAAACTCGAAGCCAACATTGAACAAAAGCTAGAGAGCGGCGAAACAACCCTTGAGAAAGGCTGCTCCCCACAGAAGACCCCGTTTAAGAAAGGCCACTTCCGCAGAGCGCCCAATGGATTTCCGCTGGGTGATCCGTGAACTTTGACCGGATGGAGGTCCCGGTCTTCGACCCAGACCCGGCCGTGCCTGGGTTAGCAAATAAAAATATGCGCATGTCGAACCTTGAATGAATACGAACAAATCTGAATATAAGTATAAAAATTAAAGGTATACTTGTTTGAAGGACATGCTACCTTCAATATATATATATATATACATATATATATATGTATATATATATATATATATATATACATATATATATATATATATATGTATGTATAAATATATTATACCATATACCTACCCCCCCCCCCCCCCCCCATGCGCCCACGCGTCAGCATGGTTTCCAGATAAAAATACTAGGTTCCGCCCTGCGCGGTGGTGTTTAAAGGGGGAGGGACTCCCATAGAAACTCCAGCAGAAGTGACCTGAACAATTTGCTCGAAATTGTGGATTGCATGCCATGAATTTAATACAAATCCTATGCATGTGAATAGCGTTCCTATCAAATTTAATGGGGTTCATAGGATTCTTTAAATCTAATTAATGAAAAGGAAACCCGTTAACATGAATGAGAACCCTTAATTCGATTAAATTCTATGGGAACCCTATTCAAATGACAGAATCCTATTTAAAATTGATAGGAATCATATTACATTTGTAGGAGCCTGATTACAATAATTAGGCAAACTATAAAAATTGATTGGAATCTTTTAAACAGAAAAATAGGAATCCTCTATTGAAATCCATAGGAACCCTATTAAAATTGATCGGACTGTATATAAAGTGAATAGGAAGCATATTAACATGAATAGGAACCCGAGTGGAGTTAATGAGAACCCAATTATACTTGATTATAAGCCTAAACCAAAAGGAATCCCTTTCAAACGAATGAGATCCCTATTAAACATTGATACGAATCCCATTAACATGAGTAAGAGCCCTGAAACTGATAGGAATCTTAGTGCATTAGTGGGAGCCTTGTTGAGATAATTAGGAACCCTATGAAACTTTATTGGCATCCTATGAAGATATGTAGAAATCTTTCACTGAAGTCATAGGAATCAAAGTTTCATGGGGTTTTTAATTATTCTCCTTCTAATGTAATAAGATTCCTATCCATTTTCGGGTTCTTATTCATGTTAATGGGATTCGTATTAATTTTAATAGGGATCTCATTCGTTTGAAAGGGATTCCTATTGGTTTAGGCTCATATTCATTTAGTAGGATTCCTATTCATTCTTGTTAAAGGAATCTTATTTTTTCATAGGAGTCCTATTAGTTCAAACTAATCTTAGTAAGAATCCTTCTCATTTTAGTATGCTTCCTATGAATTACCACCGCGTTCTTTTTGATTTGTTAAGGTTCATTCTAATAGGCTTCCTCTTAGCTTTTATCCGAAACCAATTTGATAGATTGGAATCCTATAAAAATATATAGGAATCCTCTATTGAATTCATAGGAATCCTGCCAATATTTTTCGGAACCGATAAAAGTTAATAGGAAGTGTGCACATGATGCTTGTCGTAGCATCAGGCATGCCGTGAAGCTTTTTCAGCCAAAAAGTGCAAAAATGCTGTGCTGTCCCAAAAAAACAATCTTTTTAAGGCAAAAAGTGTAAAAATGCTGTACTGTCCCAAAAAAACCAAAAAAACCAAAGTTTGGAGACCTTGGGCTCCTCCAGGGCCTGGAGGTCTCCAAACTTTGGTTTTTTTGGGACAGTACAGCATTTTTGCAGTTTTTGTAAAAACATTGGTTTTTTTGGGACAGTACAGCGTTTTTGCAGTCCCAGGCCTCGAAAGTGCTGTACTGTCCCAAAAAACCAATCTTTTTAAGGCAAAAGTGCAAAAATGCTGTACTGTCCCAAAAAACCAAAAAAACCAAAGTTTGGAGACCTTGGGCTCCTCCAGGGCCTGGAGGTCTCCAAACTTTGGTTTTTTTTGGTTTTTTTGGGACAGTACAGCATGTTTGCAGTTTTTGGCCTAAAAACATTGGTTTTTTTTTGGGACAGTACAGCGTTTTTGCAGTCCCAGGCCTCGAAAGTGCTGTACTGTCCAATCTTTTTAAGGCAAAAAGTGCAAAAATCCTGTACTGTCCCAAAAAACCAAAAAAACCAAAGTTTGGAGACCTTGGGCTCCTCCAGGGCCTGGAGGTCTCCAAACTTTGGTTTTTTTGGTTTTTTTGGGACAGTACAGCATTTTTGCAGTTTTTGGCCTAAAAACATTGGTTTTTTTGGGACAGTACAGCGTTTTTGCAGTTTTTGGCCTAAAAACATTAGTTTTTTTTGGGACAGTACAGCGTTTTTGCAGTCCCAGGCCTCGAAAGTGCTGTACTGTCCCAAAAAAACCAATCTTTTTAAGGCAAAACGTGCAAAAATGCTGTACTGTCCCAAAAAACAAAAAAAACCAAAGTTTGGAGACCTTGGGCTCCTCCAGGGCCTGGAGGTCTCCAAACTTTGGTTGTTTTGGTTTTTTTGGGACAGTACAGCTTTTTTGCAGTTTTTGGCCTAAAAACATTGGTTTTTTGAGGACAGTACAGCGTTTTTGCAGTCCCAGGCCTCGAAAGTGCTGTACTGTCCCAAAAAAACTAATCTTTTTAAGGCAAAAAGTGCAAAAATCCTGTACTGTCCAAAAAAAAAAACAAAAAAACCAAAGTTTGGAGACCTTGGGCTCCTCCAGGGCCTGGAGGTCTCCAAACTTTGGTTTTTTTTGGTTTTTTTGGGACAGTACAGCATTTTTGCAGTTTTTGGCCTAAAAACATTGTTTTTTTTGGGACAGTACAGCGTTTTTGCAGTCCCAGGCCTCGAAAGTGCTGTACTCTCCAAACTTTGGTTTTTTGCTTTTTTTGGACAGCGCAGCATTTTTGCTTGTTCTGGCTTAAAAAAATTGTGTTTTTTGGGACAGTACAGCGTTTTTGCACTTTTGGGCCTAAAGCATTGGTACAGTAGAGCGCTTTCGTGCTCGCTGAGGAGGCTTCGAAATCCTAAGCCTCTAAACCCTACCATGGCACCTGAGAGGAAAAAGTGTGGGCATATGGGGGGGGGGGGGTACCATAAATTTGTATATACAAAAAAATATATATATATATATACATATATATATATATATGAAATGAAGAAATGAATGTGTCTCTCTCTCTCTCTCTCTCTCTCTCTCTCTCTCTCTCTCTCTCTCTCTCTCTTTCTCTCTTTCTCTTTTCTCTCACTTTCTCTCACTTTCTCTCTTTTCTCTCTCTCTTCTCTCTCTTTCTCTCTCTTTTCTCTCTCTTCTCTCTCTTCACTCTCTTCACTCTCTTCTCTCTCTTCTCTCTCTCCTCTCTCTCTCTCTCTCCTCTCTCTCTCTCTCTCTCTCTCTCTCTCTCTCTCTCTCTCTCTCTCTCTCTCTCTCTCTCTCTCTCTCTCTCTCTCTCTCTCTCTCTCTCTCTCTCTCTCTCTCTCTCTCTCTCTCTCTCTCTCTCTCTCTCTCTCTTTCTTTCGGAGGGCGTGGAGGCCGCAACCTCCGGGCGTCATCGCCCGCCCCTGTTTCCGGAGCGGTACTCGGGTACAGTTGAAGACAATGATGTGATGCTCTGCTCCCAACCCTCGCTAAGTGTCCTCTAACCACTACCCCCACCGCCCCATCATCCCCATCTTCACATCTCGCCTTCCGAGTGTGAGACTGTGCTCTTCCTAGGTTGGACTGTCATTCTTGGCCCCCAAACAAAGGTACTACCCCCACACACTACACCCCCTCACGTGTGTCCAACCTGCTCTGTGCTACAGGCCCCAGTTTTGTCCTATGAGCCGCTGGCCTACAGCTTTTCGACTCGGAGTCCCTGACTAAACACTGCAATGCCCCCAAGAAACGCTAATCAGTGCACGCAGGCCCCCCATCAACCTTGGCATCCTAATCGCTCAGCGAAGGCCCCAGCAGTCTACGCCTACACGGCTCCTCATCAGAGTCCGTTGCCGACCCTTCACTGGTCCCGTCTCTCAGTCCAGCTCGACGTCGATGTAGCCCCGGCGTCGGCTCCCCCAATGACGTCGGTAGCGGTAGGGCCCCCGCGGCGTCCAAAGTTGCGTCGGCCCTCATTGGCTCAGCTGGTGCAAAAACTGGTCTCTTCGGTTTGGTTAGGCGTCTGGTGTCAGAAGGCCAGCCCCCCAATGAGTTCTTCGCTGTTGTCAGCCTTCTGAGTGAATGTCCCAATCTGTCTGATGAAAGGTTCTGTGGCAGACAAAAACGTGCTTGAATTAACGGCCCCCGCGTATCTGTTGCACGTGGGCGGCACACCTCGGGTTGGTTTGTTGGTAGCATGCACCCCCCTGGTCTCTGCCCGACTCAGGGGCCCACCCCTGATTGAGCTGTTTTCTACCGGGAGTGTGATGGCATCCTTGTTCCCGGGAGTGGGCCGGCTACGCAAACCCCCCTTCACCCCCGCGTTAGCGGGAGCTCTGGCGGGCTGGGACTTTAGGGCGCGCCCGTGCACGACACCCCGCCAAGAACGTGCCCTCCCCGTCGCTGTCGCTGCTCGAACACCTGTCTTGAAGGAGCGGCCATGGCCAGGCTGCAGCTCTAGCAATCTAACAGCCAAAGAAGTGGCAACTTACACTATACCCACTGCGTGTCCTAGCAACGACTCGCAAGCCTGAGCACCCCTGAAAAAGCGCCCCCAACTCAGTAAGTCTCTCCCCTTACTTCTGTGTAAAAGTTTGGGCACGGATCGCTTCACGGCAGGAGCTGGGTGCCTAAACCATTCACATAGCCAGGCCCCCAATAGTGGAACAGATGTACCTCAGAGCTACCCTCTATTGCAGCTCCCCCGCTGGGCTCAAATTTCAGTGCCCTTGATACTGAAAACAGCTGTCCACTGGCTCAAGCCGGGGGCGGGTTCCGACTTGAGCCAATCTCTCTCTCTCTCTCTCTCTCTCTCTCTCTCTCTCTCTCTCTCTCTCTCTCTCTCTCTCTCTCTCTCTCTCTCTCTCTCTCTCTCCCTCCCTCCCCCCCATGTACCAACCCTTTTTGTGCTGAAGTCACAGAATATTCTGCATTTCTCAACGCGCGGTGGAAATCTTTTTTTAGGGGGGGTTTCCCATAACAATTCCAGCAGAAGTGACCTGAACAATTTGCTCGTGCATGCTGTGGATTTATATATATATATATATGTATATAAGCAAACAAATAAATGAATGAATAAATGTGTGTGTGTGTGTGTGTGTGTGTGTGTGTGTGTGTGTGTGTGTGTGTGTGTGTGTGTGTGTGTGTGTGTGTGTGTGTGTGTGTGTGTGTGTGTTGTGTTGTGTGTTGTGTTGTGTGTTGTGTTGTGTGTTGTGTTGTGTGTTGTGTGTGTGTGTGTGGTGTGTGTTGTGTGTGTGTGTTGTGTGTGTGTGTGTGTGTGTGTGTGTGTGTGTGTGTGTGTGTGTGTGTGTGTGTGTGTGTGTGTGTGTGTGTGTGTGTGTGTGTGTGTGTGTGTGTGTGTGTGTGTGTGTGTGTGTGTGGGTGTGTGTGACTGTGTGTGTGTGTGGTGTGGTTGTGTGTGTGGGTGTGGTGTTGTGGTGTGTGTGTGTGTGTGTGTGGTGTGTGTGTGTGTGTGTGTGTGTGTGTGTGTGTGTGTGTGTGTGTGTGTGTGTGTGTTGGTTCTCTCTCTCAAAATATATATATATATATATATGTATGCTACCCCCCCATGTACCTACCCTTTTTGGGTTGAATTCACAGAATATTCTTTATTTCTCAACGCGGGGTCGAATATTTTTAAGGGGGGGTTTCCCATAACAATTCCAGCAGAGTGAGTGTTGTACGGTTCTGACGCACCTAGGGTCGTTTCAGGTACCAATTTCAGGTCCGGTGCTCAGGAACCAGACGGGAGACAATTCAGAACCACACAGGGGGCATTTCAGACGCACACATGGTGCATTTCAGGCGCACTACTTGGGTTTAGGGTTTGGGGATTAGGTTTAAGGGTGTAGGGTTTCGGGTTCAGGGTTTCGGGTTTGGGGTTTAGGGTTTAGGGTTTAGGGTTTAGGGTTTACGGTTTAGGGTTTACGGTTTAGGGTTTAGGGCTTAGGGTTTACGGTTTAGGGTTTAGGGCTTAGGGTTTAGGGTTTAGGGTTTAGGTTGTAAGGTTTAGGGGGTTTAGGGTTTAGGCTTTAGGGTTTGTGGTTTAGGTTTTAGGGTTCAGGGTTTCGGGTTTAGGGTTTCGGGTTTAGGGTTTAGGGTTTAGGGTTTACGGTTTAGGGTTTACGGTTTAGGGTTTAGGGCTTAGGGTTTACGGTTTAGGGTTTAGGGCTTAGGGTTTAGGGTTTAGGGTTTAGGGTTTAGGTTGTAAGGTTTAGGGGGTTTAGGGTGTAGGCTTTAGGGTTTGGGGTTTAGGTTTTAGGGTTTAGGGTTTCGGGTTTAGGGTTTCGGGTTTAGGGTTTAGGGTTTTGAGTTTAGGGTTTAGGGTTTACGGTTTAGGGTTTTCGGTTGAGGGTCTAGGGTTTAGGGTTCAGGGCTTAGGGTTTAGGGTTTAGGGTTTAGGTTTTAGGTTTTAGTTTAGGGCACAAAGTGTCAACTCAGCGCCGGCTAGGGGTGTTTGGAGAGCTTTCAGTGTCGCCTTGATGCCTCACCTTCGTTCGTGAGCACACTCAAGCCTAAACCCCTAAATCCTAAACCCTATAAGTCCTGGACCCTATAAATACAATAAACCCTATAAACCTGAACGCGGCCTGACATGGCTTGTAGCGGGTGGCTTCAGGGGCTTCGGACTTGTGGCTTTCTGGTGGTGCCGGACCTGAAACGCACCTTGGCCTGTACGAAACGCAGTCCAGCAGAGCCTGAAACGCACCTCCGCGGCCACGCACGGCGGACCTGAAACGCACACCCCCGTTCACGGTCGGGCGGACCCGAAACGCGCTTTGACCCAGCAGAGTGACCTGAACAATTTGCTCGTGGACTGCATGCCGTGAATTTGTATATATATATATATATGCTCACCCCCCCAATGGACCCACCGCGGGTGGCATCCGAGTCCTAGCCAGATCAAGGGAACAACAACAAAACAAGAAACTAACAAGAAACAAAAAACCAAAGAACCAAAAAAAACCAAAAAAACCATCTTTTCCAAAACTATGGGGCTGGGGCCTCCAAAAGATGGTTTTTTGGGTTTTCTCGAGAAAAAGATGGTTTTTTTGGTTCGAAACCATCTTTTCCTCGAGAAAAAGATGGTTTTTGGAGGTCTTCTCCTGGTAAAACCATCTTTTTCTCGAGAAAAAGATGGTTTCGAACCAAAAGACCATCTTTTTCTCGAGAAAACCAAAAAAACCAAAAAAACAAAAAAAAACATCTGTTCCAAAACTGTAGGGCTGGGGCCTCCAAAAGATGTTTTTTGTTTTTTTTTTTTTTGTGTTTTTTTTGGTTTTTTTTTGGTTTTCTCGAAAAAAAGATGGTTTCGAGCAACCATCCTTCAGAGAACCGTCTTTTTCTCGAGAAAAAGATGGTTTTCCCAGGAGCAGACCTCCAAAAACCATCTTTTTCTCGAGAAAAAGATGGTTTCGAACCAAAAAGACCATCGTTTTCTCGAGAAAACCAAAAAAACCATCTTTTGGAGGCCCCAGCCCCATAGTTTTGGAAAAGATGTTTTTTTTTTTTTTTTTTTTTTTTTTTTTTTTTTTTTTTTTTTTTTTTTTTTTTTTTTGTGTGTTTTTTTTGGTTTTTTGATTTTCTCGAGAAAAAGATGGTTTTTTGGTTGGAAACCATTTTTCTCGAGAAAAAGATGGTTTTGAGCAACCATCCTTCGAAAAACCATCTTTTTCTCGAGAAAAGATGGTTTTACCAGGAGAAGACTTCTAATCCTTTAGGTATTGCCTAAACCTTTAATCCTAAACGTTTAACTTTAAACCCTTCGGGGTTAACCCCGTGAGAAATTTAGAGATAGACCCCGAAAAGACCCTAAACCTTCTTACAGGGTGCAATGGTTTAAAAACCGATGTATACCTGCAGGTGCTAGATCCATATAGGGTGCTAAGGTTCTGGCCCTGAAGGGTTTAGGGTTAAGGCTTAAATGCCCTCTAGGTTTAAATGCCTTAGCCTTAAACCCCAAACCTTCAAACCTTCATCCTATGGGGTTTGAAGGTCAAGGGTTTAGGCTTGATTGCCGAGGGCTTTAGGGTCCTGACCCTACAGGGTTTAGGGTTAAGGAATAGATGCCTAAACCTTAAACCCTTAAGGTTTAAACTCTATGGGCTTCGGTTTAAATGTCTAAATCTTAAACTCTAAACCTTTAAACCTTCACACTACAAAGTTTAAGGGTGTTAAGGGTGACAAATTCATTACATACTTAGGTTTAAATGCCAAAATCTTAAACCCCAAACCTTTAAACCTTAACCCTATAGAGTTTAAAAGTTCAGGGTTTATTGTTAATTGCCGTCTTAGGTTTAAATGTCTGAATCTTAAACCCTAAAACTTTAAACTTTCACCCTATAGGGTTTTAAAGGTTAAGGGTTTCGGTTTAATTGCAAGCTTAGATTTAAATGTCTAAGTAAAGAATCCTAAACCTTTAAATCTTATCCCTATAGGGTTTAAGGCTAAGGGTTCAATATGAACTGCCGGACCTTAAACTTAAACCCTAAACCATTAAATATCTTAACCCTATAGGGTTTTAAGGTTAAAGGCTTAGCATTAATTGCCGGAATCGGTTTAAATGCCTAAATCTTAAGCCCGAAACCTTTAAACCTTAGCCCAACAGGGTTTAAAGGTTAAGGGTTTAAAATTAATTGAAGTCTGAGATTTACATGCTTAAATCTTAAATCCTAAACCTTTAAAATCTTAACCCTACAGGGTTTAAAGGTTAAGGGCTTGGCTACAGGTTTAAATGGCAAAATCTTAAACCCTAAGCCTTTAAACCTTAGCCCTATAGGGTTTAAATGTTAAGGGTTTAAAATTCGTTGCAGACTTAGGTTTAAATGCCTACATCTGAAACCTAAACCTGTAAAAATCTTAACCCTATAGAATTCAAAGGTTAAGGGTTTAATTGCCGGCATAGGTTCAAATGCCTAAATCTTAAACCCTTAACCTTGAAACCTCAACCCTACAGGGTTTAAAGGTTAAGGGTTTTTTTGCAGGCTTAGGTTTAAATGCCTAAGTCTTAAATTATAAACAAAAGCCAACAGAAAGAAAAACCATCCGTGTGTGTGTGTGTGTGTGTGTGAGAGAGTGAATTAAGGAATACAGTCAAAAATCCGGTCACCGGAAATCACCAGACAGCATAGGTTTTATCGGTATTTGCGGTACTTTTGCAAAGATCAAGGCCCGCGGTGGGTATGTATATATATATATATATACATATGTGTGTGTATACATATACAGAAAGGGACGTTGTGTGGCCTGCATGTATATTGCAATGCATATATTTATGTATATATGTATTCAATGTACGGGCAGGTCGATGCCTTGGGGCTCAAGATGAGATGTCGAGGGGTTTGCAGGGCACAAACAGGCCCAGGTCATAGCCTGTACGCATAAGGGACAGTCGCAAGGGGCGAGCCCACGGCCCCAGGCTTTGAAGCCAGGGAAGCTCCCGCACTGGGCCAGCAACTTGGAGGAAAACGCAGCTGGGCGGCGTTTTCCCCATATCCACCCTTCCTGCAAAGTTCTTCAGCCTGTTTCTTTCCGCAGAGTTCTTCAGCCTGCTTCTTTCAATAGAAAGGCAACGAATCAATAAATAGCAAGAACAAGCGTCAGGTTGACAAAAAGCTGCTCATCATCCTCCGAGATGGCCGAAAGCTTATGGGATGGCTCAGGAGCACGAGCGGAGAACAGACGAGCGGACAACTTGTAGCAATGTAGAAGTTGCGAGGAGACGAAGAGTCAGCGAGACAGAGACAGAGCGAGAGAGAGAGAGAGAGAGAGAGCGAGTAAGTGAGTGAGCGAGCTAGCAAGAGAGAGAGACCTTCATGACGCATGCCCAGCAGAAGAAAAACAGAGAGAGAGGGATCGGGCGAGCAGCTACCCGTCGAAAGAAAGGAAGAGCAACTGCGTAGGCAGGGCAATGAGCGGCGATACGCGCTGAAGTAGTGGGGTTGGTGGATTGCTCACGGCTCTATGCACAGCCCGCGGGCGCCAGTCGACCGCATGTGGGGGCTTCGGCACTTAAGGCCTAAAGAACACACGTGAAAGAAAAAGGATCAAAGAAACTACTCGACTGTGTTATGCTCGGCAGCTCCAACGAGGCCGGCGTTCAGCCCCTGCAGCCCCTGTGGCCAGAGGACCTTCGACCAATATGCCAACCTCTTGCTGGAGCACATCGTGGAGCGGCACATCCTCTTTGAGGAGCGGTGTGTTTTTGGATGTGGGGAAGCGTAGCGAAAAGGAGATCAGGGCTCTAATGGTTTTTGGTACAGCTTGTGTAGTTCTAAACTCCCGAGGAGAAAGTCTATGCCGACATCTACCTGGGCACGCTGCTCATCCGCGGCGAGAATGTCTGCCTGTTCGGCGAGGCCGTGTGTCCAAGCAGAAATGCATCTCCATCTCGATGCCCATCCCTTCCCACTCGAGCCCCCCACACAGAGTCACAGAGCGTCCTGGCCAGGTGGACGAAGTGCTGGAAGCGAACAGCAGCCTACAACAGGCGCACAGAGTCGGGGGAGACCGCCCTTCCAAGCGCTTCGGCAGGCAAACTTGCATGGCCATCTGCCCTTGTTCGCAACAATCATGCAGGCTGCTTTGTCTTATGTCCTCCAACGAGAGCGCGAGTTGGAGGTGAGCTTGGATGGTTCAAGGTTCAGGCTTTCAGGTTTCCATGTACTTCATCTCTTCTTCTCTTTTGGCCCCGGTTTTTCCAGAGGCAAGATCCCCATGCTTGGATAGTTTGAACACTTTGCGGCGTGGAAGGGGCTTTTGAAGGTTCGCTTTCGACATGAGCGACAGCCATGCACTGAGCCCCCAAAAAAATAGCAGACCAGACCTAAGAGACCTAAAAGAACCAAAGATCACCTCCGACACACGGCTTTGGCCCAATCCAGGAGACGGGAAAAGCGAAGCCAAAGAACGTAGACCTCTTCCTGGACCACGTCCGCCCTCCAAGGGGAAGATGCAAGAATGGATAGATACATGGACAGAGTGTGTAAGTCGTTATTGTCGAGGTTCAGAAAGTGCGAGCGGAGGGAGCAGCGCGAGGTGTCGGTGAGTCGAATTTCAGGGCACCGACTGGGGCACCAAAGCAATGTGTCTGTGTCAATTAAGTCTGGTTCGAAGTGAGAAAGAGTTCTTGGTGCATTTGGTTGTGGGGTATGGCGACTGTGTATGTGCTTGCAGTTTAGTGGCGACCCTGTTACAGTCAGGCTTTGCAGGGTTCAGCCTGTGAGCACAGAGATATTGCGACCCATACTAAGGCTGACTGACGACTCTCTCCTGCGCCAGCCTGGAGACAAAGAACCCTCCGTTGTCTCGGGTCTGTTTGGCAGCTTAAGAGATGAGATCCTACGTGCACCTTGTCGTCATGTCTGGCACGTAATTCTTAGTACTGCAAGAGCTGTCCGGGGCCAAGAGTCATGACGTCAAATGAATGCCTCTCCCAGTTGAGCCTCAACAGCCGATTCGGGGCATCACCGCGAGAGCTCATAACTCTGCACTTTTGTTTGAGTCCACAGTAAGCTCACAGCTCAGCCACGCAGCAAGCCATCAATCGCCCAGAAGAACTTCCCGCTCTGAAGCCCCGGAAACAAGTGTAAATCCACTTCCGAACAAGTGCGAAACACCCACGAATAACGCATCGATCCCGTCGCCCCCGCCAATCAAATCTCCGCCATGGCAGCGACGCCTTCATGAGGCCAGTTTTTCGGGCTGTGCTGTTTCTTTGGGACAGTTTGGGGAGCTGCGCAATGCTGCCCCTCGAGCCGGATCCGTGTCCGATTCGTGTTGACAAGCAAATCTTCTCATGGAAAAGCAAGTATCTGTGCCAACGGCGAGCAGCGGGGTTTTCCGTGTACGAGGCTGCACGTGGTGTGCCTGGGACAAGGGGAGAACAGGGCATTAACAGAGAAGAATGAGAGAACAGCGACACTTTTAGACAGAGGGAGAGCACTATAGAAAGCATAAGGAAGGAACATAGAGAAGAAATGAAGGGAAGAGACACATGGAGAGAGATGGGGAGGTAGAATGAGAGCGCCCCAGAGCTTCCGCGTTCCAGCCAAAAAAATAGATGCTTGTGTCACTGCGGCAACCCCCCTTGTTTCTTTGCCTTTTGAGACTCTTTTTCGCCTGGTCGCTTGTGCTCGGAATGCAAGGGGGGCCATCAGAGATTCCGAGAGAAGATGAGGAACACAAAACATCCTCGATGCTGAAATCCCCCTCCAAAAGATAAGTATATTAATAACAATAGCAATAATATTAGTAGTAATAATAGCAAAAAATTGTATTAATTATTTCCCAAATAATAGTAAAAATAAAAGTAATCATAATAATCATAATAGTGGCATAGTATTCATAATCGTCATAATAGTCATAATAATCATAATAATCATAAGACTCATAATAATCATAATAATCAAAATAATCATAATAATCATAATAATCATAATAATCATAATAGTCATAAGAATCATAAGAGTCATAATAATCATAATAACCATAAGATTCATAAGAATCATAAGAATCATAAGAATCATAAGAATCATAAGAATAGCCATAAGAATAGCCATAAGAATAGCCGTAAGAATAGCCATAAGAATAGCCATAAGAATAGCCATAAGAATAGCCATAAGAATAGCCATAAGAATAGCCATAAGAATAGCCATAAGAATAGCCATAAGAATAGCCATAAGCCATAAGAATAGCCATAAGAATAGCCGTAAGAATAGCCATAAGAATCATACATAATAAGAATCATAATAAGAATCATAATAAGAATCATAGTAAGAATCGTAAGAATCATAAGAATCATAAGAATCATAAGAATCATAAGAATCATAAGAATCAGAAGAATCAGAAGAATCAGAAGAATCAGAAGAATCAGAAGAATCAGAAGAATCAGAAGAATCAGAAGAATCAGAAGAATCAGAAGAATCATAAGAATCATAAGAATCATAATAATCATAGTAGTCAGAATAATCAGAATAATCATAATTGTCATAATTGTCACAATAATCATAATCATCATAATCATCATAATAATCATAATGATGGTCCCCCCCCCCCTTAATAATAATCGGATGGGAAGCCATTTGGTTATTATTTCATGTAGCTGCTCCCGCCAGGGTGGGGCGTTCGCGCCTGCAGGGAGCCTCAGGGTTTTTTACGTTTAGTGCATTGGGGTCTGCAGGCATATAAGCCTGAATCCCATGTCATTCCGTTTGCATCCCAGATCATCTCTCACCGCTACCAGCACATTCTGCAGCAACCTGACGCATGTTTGCCAGCCTCAGCGCCACCCCAAATCACCCCAAATCGCCGAGAGCTCCGCGGAGGCACCGCCACTGGCGTGCCAAGAGCCGCTTCCTGTGCGCTGGGCGCTGCATAACGGGTGGCGAGGAGAGCACTTTCAGTGATAAGGAGGGTGCGAAGGGTGAGAGCTTGCAGCTTTCAATGTGATTCAACATGATTCAACGTGATTCAAGGTGATCCAATGAATGCCCTGAGAACTCCGCTTGATCTTGCAGGGTGAATGCCCCATTGCTGCGCTCGGGGGTGTCTCGGGCGCGTCCGTGGCGACCTGGATCTGTCTCCTGCTGCCCTCGCTGCTGTGCTCCCAGGTTGTTTAGAACACGCTTAGGCTTCTGGTGCCAGACAGCATTTGGACTCCAGCTGGAAACCCCTCAACGATCCTTCGCAGTAGACTCATGACTTTGGGCCCCTGCCAAGTGCTCGGGGCCAATCTCCGCACATCTGGAGAGGTACTTTGGCATCGCCCTGCCGCACTTGTACCAGCATCGGCCTTAGGGCTCTTTGCCCAAGACGTGTGTCTCTGTGTCTCTCTGTGAGTGTGTGTGTGTGTGTGTGTGGGTGTGGGTTTTTTACGGTTTTTCAAGGTTTTTCAATGGTCTTCCTTGCTGAGGTCCTGGGCCTCTCGGCCCCCGGCGCTCTTCCCGGCCTCCCTGTTGCTCTTCGCATCGACAGCCAGGGAGCCGAGGGAGAGCCGAGGGAGCCGAGAGGGTCCGTCTCTGTTCTCATCTTCTCTTCCGCTTCGACCAGATGCGTCTGCGAGGGGAGGAGATTTCATTCTGTCAATATCTCGAAACCTGAGGTTGACATGGCCAGGGAGTGACCTGTGAGGATTCAGGGTTTTAGGATTTTAGGATGCAGCATGAGCGAAGCTAGACCACGAAGAGACCGCAATCTTTCTGGAGAGGTTGCCCTGCTGCTGGCCACCTGCTGCAGCGATCCTGGGATCATTCCTCCGAGGCAGCTCATCGTCGCCACAGGCTGGAGCATCTGGAGCCGATTAGTGGTTTGGTTCTTCCTAGCGGCCCCGGCTTCGACGGGAAAAGTGCCCATAAAGGGAAAGCACTGTTTCATTGCGAGCGCCCAGGGGGTCCGCTAATTGATGTTGCCCCACTTGCCCCACTTGCCCCACTTGCCTTTCCAGAAGCGCTAATTGATGTTGCCCCACTTGCCCCACTTGCCCCACTTGGTGGCCCGGAAAAGCTAATTGATGTTGCCCCACTTGCCCCACTTGCCCCACTTGGTGGCCCGGAAACGCTAATTGATGTTGCCCCACTTGCCCCACTTGCCCCACTTGCCCCACTTGCCCCACTTGCCTCAGGAGTAATCCCTGCTGCCTGGGTAACTGGGGCAAGTGGGGCAAGTGGGGCAAGTGGGGCAAGTGGGGCAAGCGCCCCCCCCCCCCCTCGCCTCGCCGCGCCACAAGTCTGCCTCAAATCAGGCTGCGTTTGAGGCAGACTTATGGTTGTAGGGCAGGCCCTAGCCAAGTAGAACCTTGAGTGCTGTTGGACCCTAAAATGACCCTAAAATGACCAACCTAGCCACACGTCTGCCTCAAATCGGGCTGCATTCAAGGCAGACCTGTGGCTGGGGCTGGTTGGGGGCAGACCCTAGCCAAGTAGAACCTCGAGTGCTATTGGACTCGGACAGACCCTAAAGTAACCAACCAGCCACAAGTCTGCCTCAAATCTCGCTGCAATTGAGGCAGACTTGTGGCTGGGACTCGTTGAGGGCATACCCTTGCCATGTAAAACCTCAAGTGCTATTGGACTCGGACAGACCCTAAAATGATCGGGCGGTGGGGGGGGGGGGGGGGGGGGGGGCGGGGGGGGGGGGGATGCCCCACTTGCCCCACTTGCCCGCTTGCCCCACGCCCCACTTGCAGGGTGGGCTGGGGTAGGAGGGGGGCGAGTGGGCAAGTGGGGCAAGTGGGGCAAGTGGGGCAAGTGGGGCAAGTGGGGCAAGTGGGGCAAGTGGGGCAAGTGGGGCAAGCGGGGCAAGCGGGGCAAGTGGCAGAAATCACTTAGCGGTTAAGGCAGGGCAAGTAGGGCAAGTGGGGCAAGTGGGGCAAGTGGGGCAAGTGGGGCAAAGTGGTTTTCGGTAAGGGAGGACAGCAAGTGGGGCAAGCGCGGCAAGTGGCAGAAATCACTTAGCGGTCCCCGTTTGCACGCGCACTGCACTGTTTCCTTTCTCTGCCGGCGACTGTGTGTGGGCCCCGCCTGCAGCTTCTTTCCGAATTAGTTGGTGGGCCTCCAGTTTTTATGTTCTTGTTGATGGGCAACAGTGCTTTTTGTTTTACCCCGAAGATGGGCCCCGCAGAGCGCAACTTCTGGGTACTTTTTCGACGGCATAGGCCCCACGAGCAACCACGAGCACAAACTGTTGTTTCGTTCTTCCTGGCGGGTGCCTGACCCCATGGCATCCCGGAGAATCTCCAGGCATATGCCCCTGAACACTTGGCGTGGCCAACAGCGGTGAACAACGAGACGACCATCTTAAACCAATCCGACGCTGCAGCGCGTTCCTGGTGCTTACCCATGTAACATGTAGCCTACACCTCAAGGTTCACCTGTACGCTTGCATGCAATATGCAAGGTGTGTGTGCTGTGGCGTGCGGGCTGCCAGCCCGCACTGGCTTAGGAGTGCAAGTTGGCAGCCCACACAGGCAGGTTTTCAAAAGCTTTCACTGGGGCCAGCCCGTGCCGACCCACTAGCACCTTCTGGCGGCCAGTGGCATTTTCAAAGGCTTGGGGGGGCGTGCGGGCTGCCAGCCCGCACTGGCTTAGGAGTGCAATTTGGCCCGGCAACCCACACAGGCAGGTTTTGAAAAGCTTTCACTGGCGCCAGCCCGCGCCGACCCACTAGCACCTTCTGGCGGCCAGCGGCTTTTTCAAAGGCTTGGGGGGCACGCTGCTTTTCCAGTGCGTGCTGGCTGCGCCTCCGCCAACTTTTCAAAAGGCCGCATCCCAATCCTTTCGCAACGACCGCACCCCCAAGACATCCCAAGACGCTGCCAAAAAATGTTCAGCCAACTGTCTAACGTCACGTCAACCACACCAACCCCCTTGACCCCAACCCATGCCATTTCTCCTTCTTATAAATAACACGACTCTTGTGACACATTCCTCTCAAAATGTTTCAACGCTGCCCCAAGAGGCAACTACGCAACTCTGCCAAAGATAACCAAAAGCCTCCAGGCCGCCGCGAGCATCTCAGGGACCTTTTGGGCCACGACCTGCTGGGCGGCCACCCGGAGCGCAGGTTTTTCCGAGCGAGAAAGTTGATGGAAGCAAGGAAAACAAGAGAGAAAGAGAGAGAGAGAGAGAGAGAGAGAGAGAGAGAGAGAGAGAGAGAGAGAGAGAGAGTGGACCACCTCACCGACTTGCACGACGAGCACGACCACATCGGGGACCAGAACACCGACCTCGCCAACCACGATGACCAGCCGGGTGGGCAGAACGAGTTCACCAATGACGCTGCGGCCGAGTACCACGACAGTGAAGGCGATGCAGACCGGGAGGCCGCTGACTACACCGAGGTGACCCACGACCAACTCGCGCACCGCCATGACAACCAAGGGGCCCCGCAGGAACGGGCAGCAAGGCCCAGGGCGCCAGGCGGGCACCTTACTGGCTATGTGCACGACGTCGAGTTCGAGACCCTCGCCTACGCCAACGCTGGAAATCGACACACGCCCCACGAGGAGGAAGGAGACCGGAACGACCATTGGGAGGAGCCCGCGCGTGGTTGGCACCGCGCCTGGTGGGACCGCGCCTCGTGGAGAATGCAGAGATGGCTCTGGCGATCAGACGAAGCAGAAGACGGGGGCCAACCGGATGGATGGCTATTTGGTCGCGACCCACGAGACCCACATGCCTGGTGGCGCCCGTGGCAAGCCGCGGGCACCGCAGCAGACTACGCTCCGCAGCACCAACCTTGGGAGGATCCCGCCGTGGCGTGGAGCTCGGGGACCGCTCAACCACCAAGACGCCGAAGGACGCCACCGCCGCGCCGCCGTCGACAAGTCCCCAGAGCGCATGGAGGAGTGGAAGGACAGGCAGAGGAGGACGCAGCGGCAGCAGCAGCGCAAGCAACAGGACAAATTCCACCTGAGGCCCAACCAACGACAGCAGCGAAAGCGGGAGCGCCACCCCAGGAGGGCGCGACAGGCGCAACAGCAGTAACACCAGCAGCGGGGCAAACCCCACCTGATGCACAACCAGCAGCGGCAGCAGAAGCAGTGGCGCCACCCCAGGACCTCCCCCCGCACGTGTGGGAAACCGTCCAGCAGCAGGGGCTGGACCCCAATGACCTACCCCCCTGGCTCCTCCACACCCCCGCAGTGCCAACCCCCAACGCAGACAACCCGCCACAGCAGCAGCAGCCCGACTACCCCCCGCCGGAGGGGCGACGACGCATCCGCTACCTATCCTGGGAGGAAACGCAGCGGATCGGCAGCCGCCCGTACTTTGATGCGTCCCAGAACCAACGCCGAAGGGAGGGCAACAAGCCCCCGACACACAGGCCCGACATCCCACCGCGGGGAGCACCGACTTTGGGGACCGGCCGACCAAACAGATGGCAGAGGGGGACCCGCCTCGGGCACCCTTCTGCGCAGGCGCACCAGGACACACCGACCGACACGTCTAGCGGAAAAGCAGCAGCCCAGCAGACCCACCTAGCCGACCAACCCGCCCCCCCCAACAGCCCCACCGGGGACCCCGCCAACACACAAGCTTACGCAAACCCCAAAGCACAGCGCCGCGAAGGCAGGGGACCCAAAAGGATGGCGAGGAAGCAGAAGGAGAATCAGGACTGGGCCGACTGGAATGCACAGCAGCAGCAGGATTTCGAAGAACAAAAACGAAGGGTCAGGCCTCTTGACGGCCCGGGCAAGGAGGAGGAAAGAGCGAAGTGGGCGGAGCTCCTCAACCTGCACAAGCGGCCGCGGGAAAACCAACAGCAGCAACAAGCAAACCAGGACAGGGGCAGAGCTAGCAACGACCCCCCCGAGCACCTCACCCGCCAAACGGGGGCTACACCCAAACAACCGCCCGCGCGCCCTGCCCTGGGGACACATGTGGGAGGTCCAGCCGCCCCGCAGCCACCCCCTAAGCAGCCTCCACCGCGACCTCCGCAAGCAAACTCGGAGGGCCCAGCCGCCCCACACCCGCCCTCCAAGCAGCCTCCGCAGAGACCCTCACACACCTTAAGCTCTCTGGAGCCCACACCGCCGCAGCGCACTATGCCGACTCCACCCACGCTCCCTAGCAGCGATGAGGAGACCCACTGGAGCAGCAGCGAGCACAGCGCGGACAACGAGAAGCACAACCACGAGCAGACGCCACATACAGAGGGGCCCGAGGACACCGAGCAGCTTCCCTCTCCCCACGTGGCCCAGGCTGAGGTGCAAGTCGGCTCGGACACCCACGCACAGCCGGAGGAGGACCCTGCCGACGTCATCACGGACTTCCTAAACGCCCTACGTAGCGGAGACCACATTGAAGGGGACCACCTGGACCTCATGCAACAGCCTGGACCTACACCGTGGACGAAGGAGGATGAGGACGAGGCGATCGACTTGGGCAAGGAGGCGGAGGCGAACGAACAACAAGCGCAAGAGGAAAGACGCTGCTTGCAGCTTGCAGAAGAGGAACGCCGAGTCCGACAGGAAGCGGCCGAGGAGGAGGCCCTCCAGCAGGACCGACAGGAGGACCTGGACGCCCAGGAGCTCTACCTCCAGCACCTCGTCAACGACTTCTACGAGCAGGCGCAGTCCGACCACCTGGCCACTGTGTCCGACGACGACCACGGGATCCACCTCGACGAGCACACCGCGGAGGGGCCCAGCTGCACAGGCACATTGGGGGACCCACTTCTGACAACAGACAGGGGACCCACAGCTGCTGCCCACGCTGACGTACCACCCCGCAGACGTGATCAACCTGGGACAACATGGAACACAGGAAGCCCCACGTCGAGGGGACCTCAGCTCGACCATCCGCCAGGCCCTCAGCAGGTGGACCCGTTTGTGTGAAGGGAAGGACGTGATACTCCTGGAGACGGAGAACCTCATCGAGCTTGTCAACCTGATCCTCAACAATGCGGGGCCCGACGAGGTGGAGACGAGCCAAGGGGACGAGGAGCTCCTGCTCCTGATTGGCCGTATCCTCCACCGCAGCATCGCAACAGAGCCGGTGACGCCGATTACCAGGGATAAGATCGAGACGATACAAGTGGTCATGCGGGCCTACGACCAAGCACAGAAATGGGGGCCCATTTTCCGGAACAAGCCGACCTGCACGCCAAGAAGCAAGAGACGATCGACACCTGCGAGCAGCTCCCATGTATGCCCTCGGGGGGACCACACAGAGATGGAGGAGGACGAGGAAGATCAGCACGCAAGGGGGACAAAGCGACCACGACAAGAAACCAGTAGCAGCAGTGCTTGCAGCAGCCCGGCTCGGAGCCCCAGTGACCGATGGGAGGCCTCCCCGACGGGGGATCCTCCCCAGCATGCGTGGTCGCTTTGGGGGCCCACACCACAACGACCTCCTGCACCTGAAGCACATCGGGGACGCGACCTGCACCCTCATCAAGCACCTGGGCAGGGGGCTCTTGGAGGATGGGGGCCGGACCAACAAGTGGAGACCGCCCAGATCGACGACCCGGAAGATGTGCACGAGCTGTTTGAGGGGGCCGTGGAGACGGGGGCTACGGACTACTACCTGGAAGCCGACGAAAGTGATACCGATGGCCCAACAACCGATAGCGAGCAGAGTAGTGAAATTGACTACTCCACTCGGAGCCGCTAAGACAGAGGCACCGATGTCTTTGAAGGGCTCCGTTGAAACCGATGGGGCCCCCGTCAGCTGGACACAGACCCACTTGGCCGTCGCGGCCGGGTTCCTCCTTCGGGGGGGGCTCTTAAGTGCAGGGAAGGGAAGGGAAGAGAGAGAGAAAACACTTTTTTCGTTTCAAGACTTAGAATTACAACTGAAACATTCAGGATCATATTCAAAAAACCTGAGAAAAACCCACAGAATCTCAGGCCAGGAGCCTTGCGGCGACCCCTACGAGGACGCGTTGCGAATGGCACGGCGCTGAGAACCTCACAGTTCGCATCTTCAGACCGTCTTGAGACCGTGATCTCTTTCACTCCCCACATTGAGGTGTCAATGCTCAGCCACAGATCAAAGAAAGCCCTGTTGAAATGAGGAGCTAAGAGCCTTCTGTTTCTGCCTAGAATTCCATGTTTTTTCAAGGGGTGCTGGCGCTAGTTTGGATTTTGTATTCGCCTTTTTTGGGGATGTTTCTTTTGCCCGTGTCTCTCTCTCTCTCTCTCTCTCTCTCTCTCTCTCTCTCTCTCTCTCTCTCCCTCTCTCTCTCTTTCTGTCTCTCTCTTTTTCCGGAGCCAGGAAGCAAGCAAGCTGGTCCTGCTGTTGCTACTGCTGCTGTTACTGCTACTGCTACTGCTACTGCTACTACTACTACTACTACTACTACTACTACTACTACTACTACTACTACTACTACTACTACTACTACTACTACTACTACTACTACTCCTCTTACTACTCTAACTACTCTTATGCCATTCTTGCTATTCGTACTGCTCTTACTACTCTTACTACTCTTACTACTCTTACTACTCTTACTACTCTTACTACTCTTACTACTCTTACTACTCTTACTGTGAAGTCGACCAGCACTGGACTTGCACTAAGCCAATGCAATCACAGCCCGGTCACGCTGTTTTACGACTTCGCGAGTTCAAGCACTTGTGCAGCTACGCCTGAGTGCGTCCGGTCGGACCGCACAGCAACCTAAGAGCTACTGTACGAATCTACCGTGCTCAAAGGCACAAGCTCGGTACTTGAGCCAAAATATTGGCATTGATTCGAATTGCAAAACTCTACATGCAAAGGAAAACTACAAGGTGGTCTGCCGAGTCCTAATGCATCACAGAGCAGAAGATGCATATGCACTCATGTCAGCTCACATTCGCCCCTCAGCCGAGGCTCCGGTGAGTGACTTCCACAAGGAGGGCGGGCGTCCGTCGCGGCTTTGGGCGCAAGCCCGCAAACGAAGACACGCGAAACGAGACGACCCAAACGAACGACCCTCCAAAACCAGCCTAAACCAGGCGGTCCGGTCTTTTGCACGACCTGAGTCGAGGCTCCAGTACACAGAGCCCACTGAGTGCTTTGAGGACTGCTACGGCAGACACTGAAATCTATGGTACAGATGGTACACTGTACACGGCCGGTCCTAAGCTTCGGCTACGGCTACTCACCTATCCAGAACTACCCTACGGGCTACCGGACTCAGCGAGAGCCGCGCACATTGCTCGTGCCGCAGGCAGTGCAGCTCGCACGCGCTTCGGCGAGCGCACTGCCGCGACCAGGACACGGTCCGCAGCAGCCGCAACGGGCTGGGAAGAAAAGTGCGGGTAGGCAAAATGGGCAGGGAAAACCCCTGCCGCGGCTCTTCGCCCGCAAGCAAAACACAACCAAAAGAGGCTCGACAGCGTGCCGCGCTGTGATGCCTAAGAAATCGCGTGGAAACCCCTTCCACGCCGCGCCGACTGGCCGCAGCCTACTCGATACCCTGTGGAGCAGTGTTGGGGGCACGAGTGGCGTTGCCAGCAACGTTGGAGCTACTGGCTCGCTCCAACTGAGGGCGCTTTGCGACCGCCTCATCGAGGGAGAATGCCTCAGCCGACACCCTCTGGAAATCCTCGATGTAGGACTGCACGACTGAGTGCGTCTTGGGGACCTCAAGCCTAAGCCCTGCCTCCGCATTGGCCTTGCTGCTTGTGGTAAAATTGAGGCTCCCAATCAGCACCACCGCGCCTTCAGGCCGCAGTAGGCAAAGGGCCTTGGCATGGTGCAGCCCTTGAATCCCGGTGCCTACCTTAGCCCCGCGGCCGTCGCGAGCATAGGCGTCGCGCACGGATGTGCCGCAACCCACCTTCACCTCGGCGCCTGCAGCCGCCAAGCGTTTCAACGCTTGCCACTGCAGTTTGGTGCGGTGACATTGCCCCATGTCGGCGACAATCCGAACGCCTGCGCCTTTGCTAAGCGACGCTTCGATTGCCTCGATGCAGGATGGGCAATCTAAGCTGTACGCCCGGATGTAGATCACATCCTCTGCTGCTCCAGACCCAAGCAGCGTTTGGGCGGCCTGAACGTATGGCCCGCCCGCAAGGAATTCCGCTTCTTTGACTGGAGAACTCCTAGCGGGGGCTGGGCCCTTGTTCCTCCGGCCTGGCGTGCGCGCCACAATGGCAGTGGCGGCACGTTGCACGGAGCCGGACTGTGCGTGGGCCGCGCTCGCTCCATCTGCTGGGGCCGCGGCCAGGTCACGACCTGCGAGCCCCTGAAAGCAGGAGAGCCCGCGGCTCTTGGCCGCCAGTTGGGAGAAACATCCTTCACTGTTTCCCAAACCCAACACAACCTTACCCTTAGCCAGGGTTTCGGAGGCGGTACTCCGAATGGAGTCTGTGAGCGCAGGACCCGCGCCTCGCTGGGCCGCGTGCAAAAACCCTAAGGAACGAGCGGTGTCCATTGCGGCATCGCAATGCCCGCAGCGTCCTTCTGCCAGGTAAGCACGACAGCCACAGGCAGCTGTCTCCTCCTTGAGGTGCACCCAAACCCTATGGGTCACCCCTTTCTTGGAGCTCGCGACCTCAAACGTCGCTTCAGAGCCAAGGAGTTGAGACAGCCGCGCCTCAGGGGCCGCGGTGTTGCCATGTCGCATATGCGCAATGCGATTGGCAACGGCACGACTCACGTACCACAGAACAGCGCCGCACAAAATCACTACTACCAGAGTGATGGCTGTTCCGGCGACCCACACGGTCCGCCTGGCCCCATGACCGATTTCCTCGACAACGTCGGCCGAAACCGTTGCAACCGCGTGCATGGAGTCCTCGACAACATGCACAACCCCGCGGTGCAACTGCAAGGCAATCGGCGCCGACGCTGCAGCCGCCAGGCCCCACCAGCCGTTGATGTTCCCGTTGAGGGCGTGCGTCAACCGATTGAGGAGCCCGCGACCCAGGAAAAAGGGGGTCCGCGGCGGAAGCGGAACACTTGGTGGCGGCCGGACCGACCCGCACGGGAAAGCTGGGACCCAGCTTGTGCTTGGGCGGGGTTGGAGCGCGGCAACAATGCCCGCGGCGAAAGCGCCCCAGGCGTACTTGCCCCTCCCCTTGGGCTTGCCCTTGGCATCGGACTTGCCTCTGCCTTTCGGCTTGCCCTGGCCCTTGCCACGGGCGTCTGCCCAAGCACTCCACGGGCCGCGGCCCTTCCCGTACGTCGCCTCTTCGCGACGTCTCTTGCCGCCCCTCTTCTTGTGTTTACTTCTAAGAAGAGGCTGGATGGTTTCCTGGTCCATCGCGCGGTTGGCCAGAAGGATCTCGTACTCCAGCTCGTCCTGGCTGCTTTCTGAGCCCGAGTCCCTCTCTTCGCCGCGCCGCGGATCCGGGATCCCGCGGGAAACGACCTCTGCCAAGCGGAGAGGCGTGCTGCACCGAAAGCACAGCTGCCTGAATGAAAGGTTCCATTCATAGCAGTTAGGGCACTGCCACCCTGCTATGCGGAGCGCCTCGCTGATGTGATCATCGCGCTCCGCCTTCTCCGCCTGGCGCCGCTCCCGCTTTTTGGCGCGCTCGGCCGCCCGCGCCTCCTCGGCCGCCTGGAGGGCTTCAGCGAGTTCCTCATCGCTGAGAAGCCTCGCGGCATCTGCCCGCGCTTGCTGTTCTTCAAGCTCTTCGGCAGAAAACCTCCGCCGCCATTGCTCCGGCGCGGTTTGAGGATCTACCTCCCACCACCCGATGTCGATCCCATTGATCCATCGGCCGTCGCACGGGGCGCCCGCGTTCGGGCCGCCCGCGTGCGTGGTGAGGCACTGGTCCTCGGTGACCGGGTTAATGGCTTCGCAGAAGAAGCACCGCCAGCTGCCGTAGGGGTAAAAGCGGCCTTCGACGTAGGCTCGGTTGGCTGGGAGGGCGACTTCGTCCGCCTCATCCGCGGTGCCCTCCTCCATCTCAACCGAGACCTCCTCGTCTTTGACAACCTCTGTTTCCTCCTCCTGTTCCTCCTTGACCAGGGGCTCTTCCTCCTCCCGGCCAACTTTGAGGTGGGACTCAGTGCGAACCTCGGCGCGCATCAAAATGACGTCAAGGCTATCCGCGGCTGGGTCGCCCGCGAAGAAGGAGTCGATCTCCTTGGCATGGAGATCGTCAAGAGGCGTCACCAGGTCCGGCGAGTAATCTCGCTTGGAGCGACGCTCGGCCAGGCGTCGCTGGATGTCGCCTTTCGGCGGCTCGAGGGCCCGCCCGTGCGGAGCGGCCTCCCGCGGAGGCTCGGGATCGGCCTCCTCCGTGGGCTCGCTCTTGGGCGTGGACCCTCCATCGCTTCCCTCTGGAGGGGGGTCCAGCTCGGGGTCATCGCGAAGCCACCCCGGCGGATGGCTACCACCATAAATGTGGTGCGATCCATCCTCAAGCTGGATTCGGTCCCCTCGCTTCAGGAGCGGGACCCTCGAGTGATCGTACCCGTTGGCTTTGTGGTACCTAATCACTCGGAGCATGGGCACCTCCCCGTACCCACCGTCCTTTCCTTGGCAGAACAGCCGTCCCCGCCAGTCCTGACGAAAAGGGTCAAGAGGTGCGGAGGGGCTGATCCCCAGGTTGGGCGGAAGAGAGGCGCCATGGCAGGCCGCCTGATGCAAGTGGTACTGCACCAGCGACTCAAATGCCAGCCCGCATCCCGGAGCCGAACATCCGTAGTGGCCTTCAGCGTTGGGGCGAGGCTCCTCTGAGGCCGAGGCGGACTGGGCGGTCCCGCCTCCTGAAGGCCTGGCGGAACTGCTCGACCCCGCAACCCCGGGGGCGTCCTGACCATCGTCAGACACCTCTTCCCCGTCGGCGCCTTCCCCGGCCGCCCGACTCTCTCCCTCTCGGCGCAGTGTTTTGAGGGACTCCTCACGCTTGGTGATCTTCTCCAGCTTCACCATCGCGGTTCCCGCAACCTCCAGTATTTTCGACTGGAGCTTCTGCGCCCTCAGAAGAGCTTCGGACCGCGCGA